ACGGTGGGGGTGGTGACGGAGGGGGTGGCGGAGGTGGCGATGGAGGGGGTGGTGGGGGTGGTGACGGAGGGGGTGGTGGTGGTGGTCGTGGCGGGGGTGGCGGAGGTGGTGACGGTGGGGGTGGCGGGGGTGGCGATGGGGGAGGTGGCGGCGGTGGTGAAGGAGGTGGGGGTGGGGGTGGTCGCGGAGGCGGTGGTGAAGGCGGGGGTGGCCGTGGTGATGGCGGCGGTGGTGAAGGAGGCGGTGGTGACGGTGGCGGCGGCGAAGGAGGCGGCGGCGAGGGCGGCGGTGGGGAGGGAGGTGGCGGGCTAGGAATGCTTAACCTGGAGATCGGGCAGCAATCCACGTTGGTGTCGAAAAGCGCTGTGGAGCAGACGCCTGGGGGGGCCCTGCTAGGCGGCTCGCACAGCTGCTCCAGGGTGGTGCAGCCGCGACCTGGCGCCTTGGAAATCAGGGTGAGGCAAATCTGGGCGCCATCGCTATCGAAGCCCAGACCCAGCTGCGTCAGGCGGAGCACCATGCTGCCAGTTGGGCCCTGCGGGGCTAAGGAAAAGCTAGGTCCAACGACGGTGTAGATACCATTGATGGTAGACTTGACAATGGTGCCATCTATGTCGCAGTCTTGGCGCACGTTGAACTGCGGAATAAAGCCAAAGGCAAAAGCAAAATTGAAGAGTTTAAAGCGCTCTAAAGATGGTGGACGAACAGGAAGCATAACTGCTCCATTGCCGACCGAACCCGGTGAAAGCGGCTATGCAAAAAAAAGAAGAGTTACAGAACACCTTATTGAGTTTAGAAGTAGTAAACTTGTCAATCGACAAAGTTGTAATTCCGTCCCATGCGACATTACTGTTCTGAAGAGCAATTCCGTAGGTAAGGCTTGGCAAGACCCCTCCCAGTTGCGTCCCCCGGTGACATATCCTTACCTCAATTTTGCGTACGTCGGCTTTCGTGGCGCAGTATGAGGTGCCGCCAGCCACTGGCCTTACGTTCAACGTAAAGCAGAAGGTGCCATTGCCGTATGATGTTACGGTTGGCGAAAGGCTATAAGGCGACGCGCCTTTGTTGCAGTTGCAGAAAGGGAAATTCGGGTAGAGCCCGGACTGAATGAGGTCGGCGGGTAGAATCTGCGCTCGGGCAGCCCTGTCGGGAACAGTGGGAGATGAAAAGCGTCATTTGATTCGCCGCGACGCGCTATCAAAGTAATATCATAAGAGGTGCGTAACATGACGGCAAATAGAAATTGTTCGGCGAATGCCTTGGAAGAAGCATGTGTGCAGCAAACCTGCTCGGGCAGCGCGATAAATCGATAGAGGACTTTCCACCGGCATAACTCGGAGGAATAAATTCAATACAATTCCCATAGTTGTAAGTTAAGCCTCAATTGATATTGAACAAGACTGCCCTTTAGCTGTACTTTCCCGTTACCGATAGAGTGGGCGACTTACGCAAAAGCGGCTGCCAAGCAGAGGGTCACCACCGCAACGTAGTGCATGTTGCACTGCTATAATTCCAACCTTACCATACTCTTTCCTTTTATGTGTTCGTGGAGTCGCCTGCCGTACCCAGCAGGAATTTTTGGCGCCACGAACGCCCACCTCGCGCTTCCGGAAGGAATCGTCTACTACGCCATTTTTAGCACCGATGCAGAGACTGCTCACTTTTACATACCAATTATACATTTAAGGAATAGTAGTCCTTATCGCTGGTCACCACACCCAAAACTACGGCGCGGCCGCAAACGACCTTATCTTGCCCAAATTTGTGACTAGGAAATAATACATATAAGTATAAAACAAACAAAGAAGGCAAATCAACGCGTCCTGACAATACTGTCAAAGTGTACGTCGAAGTTTTGGAAGCGGATTCGGGCGAATGGGCTGGCGGCCACCTGTGGCAACGCACGGCCATCGATGCTCTGGTGGGAGACGGAAACGATTTCCAGTATACATATATTTGACAAACTCCTAAGAGTTCAGCTCACAGCAACCCTACCCGACAGGCTCTCACATTTTACAACTTGACATTAAACTTTTCCCTATGGCTTCCGGGTGTAGCGGTAATAAAAATAACTGAGGGCTTGCTTTCATCCGAACTACCCCAGCGTACTTAAGTCGGCAATGAGATGGCAGATGTGCGAAACATGTTTCCGCAGAACCAACTCAAATGGGTGAGCCTAAGGTAAAGACGTACTCAAGAAGTTTTTCGTTCAGTTTCTTTCTGAATTCAGAAACTTAGGCGGTTGCGGGGCGCGGTTCCGCTGATGGTGCGGACGGTCCCCGATGTTTGGCAAACCTTTATAAGCCTTGCAATGCAGGTTGCAGACATCATTATAAATCGAGTCCAAAAATTATTCTGCCAGTCCTTCTGACAGGACGCCAACTTTATAAAGGGGTGATTCCGCGCTCCTAGTCGCTCCTCTCAAACAGAGTCTCCTATCACCAAGAAGGTTGCCGACCCGAAGCGCTACCTTAATGACATTGTATATTGTTTACTTAAATTAGTACGCCATGGCTACGTAGGTGAATCAAGGATGCCGAGGCGCGCGCATGGAACATATGATTACAGTTGCCATCGAAGCCGCCATCGCAGGTATCGCCGGAGAGCATTATGCTGCTCTAGGAACAGCATTACGCACCCCACGCCTTGCATATCAACATCGATAGATCAAGATCTGAAGGGCTGCATAAAAAACTGGAAGTTTGGAGGCCTTGAAAATGCAAAAGCGTTAGGTCTCGCTGCCGCTGCACACCACGCACCACACTACGTACATAGACACGCTGCTGCATTACGTACGGCAAGAAACATACGGACTTTTCCCTTTTCAAAGTTCCATTCTGTCCACCCGCGCAAGGGGCTGCGTACTCGCTTCTTTGCATGGGCATATTCCTATCATGGGCGCCATTTCTGCTCGCGATGGGCTGACGACAGTACGGGAGGCGGGAACCTGTTAAATGCCGTTATGACGCAACCTGCCGGACGCGTCCATATTGAGCGGAAAGCCACGTCAGACATTCGTAAATGGCGTAGGCCGGGACCTGCTGAACCCTGTTATTTGTTGCCAGAGGCATATCAGTATTGGTATCGATGGTGGACACTACTACACGGCCCTGCTGGCAGTTCACTACCTGTGGGCATGCCGCCCCCAACGATGATCTTTAGGTCCTCGCGAATGGGTCCAAAAGCGTATAGAACTGCCTGTACATTTTTTTTCGCCGTGTAAGGAAACCATCTTGCTTTCCTATGAGCAACCCGCAACGAACGAAGCTTTGGATCCTGAAACGGAAGCGTTCGAAAAAATGCTCCGTTTGTAACCCTGCCTGTGAACTCTTGACTCGCTCGGCGATGACGTACTCTCGCCTGAAAGGCGGGCGGATGGATGGCGGGCATGGCAACCGCAAATATACTGGGAAGTTAATAAAGCGCTTAGGATGCAAATATACATTGAACCGCACTTTGCTCCGATAGACGGAAATAACAGCAACCAAGACGCAGCTAATTTACTTGGAAAACCCGCGGTTCGATTCCGGCCTTGGGATGCCGCGGCGTCGCGCGGAGTCGGCCCCATAGAACGATGAATCACTGTCAGCCTCCGAAACACAGGTGCCGTGCTAGCCATACATGCCAATGTCTGCTCCCAGGCGGATGCATTGGCCGAACCCCGTCCGACTCCCCACCTTCCCTGCTTCTGCAGGAGCATTAGCACACAATACTCCTGCTAAAACACAGACCCGTCGAGAACCCGAGAGTCAACCACAAGCATCACGGCATCGTCGAGCGCCAGCAGCACAGTAAGCAGTGTTAAGCATACGAAACCCTGAGTAGATGTAAGCATACAAACGAACTTGAGGCGCTTCCACTCGTATGTACGCCGCAAAAAGCTTGAACAGCCACAAGTGCGCACAGGCTTATGACTGCAGCATAATGCAAGAAGCGTAAGGACCAAGTGGAATACAGGATAACCGCCCGAGATGTGTGGATGGGTGCGGCGGCTGATAAATCGCTATGCTTACCACTGCTGCCGCCTTGCCCATGCACATCGACCTGGCGAGGACGGGTTCTGACGATGATAAAGCATTTTTGGGAATGCCAAGCTGCGCAGCCAGCAGGGCGCTATAGGGGCACATTGCATGTTTACCAGTGTGGAAGACTGAGCGGGCGATTCTGCGATACACATCCACCCCTTGCTGGGGGGTTTGAAGCTCAAGCTGGTCGATTTGCGACCTACTTCCCCTCCCCCTCTGCCCCCTGCTGCCCCCAGCCGTTCCGACGCAAGGATTTAAGCTGTGTTTTTATGCCCAATTTTCGCTGTGTGTGACAGAACAAATGACTCTTTGAGGCCGGCAAGCGAGGTTGGCGGGTGTGATAAGCGGTGTTAGCATGCTAGTCCCACCAAATCCAAGGTTATTACTCGAAACTATGTTTTGCATGTACAAGGGCTTACGTGTATATGTTGAAGCACAGACAGGCAGGGAAACGCTTCGGCCAGTACGTGGATATGCATGTATACACACACGTGCACACAAAGACATGCCAGGTAAGGTATGAACCTCTTCGTGGGCGGGGCCTTCGTGCTTGCCAGACCGTCCAGAAGATGAACGGTGCATCGACTCTTCGTACATCCTCTTTGTACGTCCTGTACGTCCTCTTCGCACAGCCACCCTCGTTATATCGTAGGCCGCGTTTTATCAGGGAAACAATACATTCATTTGGATTGGGCCCCCGGCGGGATGGGCCCCCGGCGGGATGGGCCCCCGGCGGGATTGGGGGCCCCCACTTCAATGCAGCTGTAGGTACATACAGTCACACAATCGCAAATTTTCTTGTAATTTAACAAATGAAGAGCGCCTGAGACACGCACACCATTCGCATCTTCGGCACATACAAATAATAATTGATGCATATCTGCGGTGTTCGCCGCCGCAAATAAACGTCCTGCTGATATCCGCCGCCATGCATGACATATGCCACGGCGGGGAAATGGAGAGCGAGCCAGTAGTCTCACATCATGCACCTTTCTACGTCAGAACGATGGTGGCATCAACCGCCAGGTAAGAAAGAAGAGTGAAAGTGTAAGAAACAAGCAGTGCCGTCCGCGTGCAAACTCAGTTCTTGCTTCAACCTGGTACCGCGATGGACCCGCTTCGTGCACACAATTTCAAACGTATGATACGCAGCAACTCCTTAGCATTATGACCATGCATGTCCGGCGCCATCTTCTTGCATGCTTGTCCCATCTGTCCCATAACCTATCTATCCGTCTTCTGGATCTACCTCCGTCTCGTAGGACTGCCTTCAGTGATGTGTGTGTGAAAACATGGTTCTGTGCGGCCGTTAGCATACATGGAAGTGTCTCCAAGCAAACCACCTTGGTGGCTAAATATGTGGTACCAATAATAGGGGGAGCACAGCATCACGAGCAAGAGAGCGCTCGCCTCAGCTCTATTCGCTCCACGCATGGGGAAGGTTGGCGTACATACAACCCACCTGCAGTGTGGTTAGAATGGTTGAAGCTAAGAGAGGCAGCTCATCAAGGGCTGCTGATGGTCACCAGCCGATCTTCATCCATACAAGCTGTTTGGCCGCCAATAATGGCTTCGGATGTCGGCAACTGCATTTAGCCCAGTACGGAGGCCGAATACAGCGGACAGCAGTCCTTCGACTCGTCGAAGAGAGCGAGCCTGCAGAGACGACGCAGGTGCGAGGGGAAGCGCGGGAAGTGAAGTGACGACGGCTCAGCTTGATGTGACTCCATTCGTGCTCTCCTGTGTTTTCTTGTCTTGATGCGTGCTTTTTCACAGCTTATGCACATACCTAAAGCTAGCTTGATTTTTCGTCTTATTTCGTACTTCCAATGAAGCTATAGTTAAGGTCCGTGAGTGCATTACCACGGAGTGAACAAGGCAACTTACTTCCTTGCTGCTGGGGACCACCGCCGCACTTACCAACAAGTCTCGTCACCGTAGACGCAAAAGCGGCTGAGATCTGTGATGTACTCCAGCTCCAAGCAGATTTCGCCACCGTTGGCCTGGGTCATGTTCCAATTAAAGGCCGGTGTTTTAAGCGTGTCATCACCCACAGGACCCCAAAGCTCCGAGACGAAGGTCATTTCAGTCGCGCCCGCGGCCCGCAACCCGATGGCCTTCACCCGACCGCGCTGATCGTCATTCGCCCAAAACTCCACAGAACGCAGGGTGGTTGTGCGGCCGCAATCGCTCTGCATCATGCGTTGGCACGGCGGGAAGTCAAAGAGGCGGATGTGTGAAGTGACGCCAGCGACCCGAAATGTGAGAATATGGTAGCGAAGAGATAGCTGCCATTCCTTAATTAAGTATTGGGAGGCCCCCAAATGTTGGGAAGCAGGACGGTGCACATACATGCCTCTGCACAGTCATCGAGCCGTTCATTTCTACAAGACTTGATGGCTTTCTTCTCTTGTCACTCCTTTGAAGCATTGAGCGAGAATTGATGCAAAACGCTTGCAGCCCGCCATTACTTATTAGGCAGCGACGGTTGTAAACCGTACAGCTCTTCGCCTTGTTGCGATACTAATTCGTGACATAACATAATCACATGCGTTGCCGTTGTGGGGAGCTCAATTTTGACAAATACAGTGCTGATAATTTTGAAACCGTATCCTGATCAGCATTGATAAGAATTATGACAGCTGTAAAGTTTATATCGCTCAGGCCATTCGCCAATACAGTGATACGCTCGTGTAGCAATTAGCTTCTCACTTTGACAGGTAATTTTTCATTTTTAGTAGCATCATAATGAAACCGTCAAGTTTTTTAATGTTGAAATGAAGACGAGGCCGTTGCAAGTTTCGATTGTGGCAGCTTTCCGGTTCTCAGGAGCACGTTTCCTTGAACACTATACCCAAACTAAATAAGTATTAATGGCCTGTTTTTTGGTACCTGTGCGTCGCGGTCTGCATACCGGTACAAGCACGCAAACTTTTGTCGCAATCCGTTTCCGAATCGAATGCGAGTCACTGGCTGAAAAAGTGTTATGGTCCATAACTATTTGTATATTATGTTAAACAGTAAAATCTAGGTCATTCTAACAGTCCGTGCGCTGACGCGGTTGTTGACGTAGTCCATTGGAAGAGGGGCGTAGGCCTTAGGGCTATTGGGGCCAACCGCACGACAGTCTAGAATGAAGTACATTTATTTACCTACAACAACTTACATTGGGCGAGTACGGTGCAACCGCGAAAATCTTGAAGCACTGCAGCACAGTATAGTTCTTGCGACCGGGGTATGTCATGATGATTGGGATGGCCGCAAACGGTGTCGCTCGCTGGCGGGTTACGCACCTGCAGCCGGGTAGGGTAAACCGCAAACAGGTAGGCTATGTAACCAGCAACGAAGTGCGCCACATCTCAACCACCGCCGCGCCTCAATCGCCTTTTAAGATATCTATTCCATTCCAGAAAAACGCAGTGGTCTCAACGAACAACCACCTGCCTAGTAAGGTAAAAACGTGGATTTGCGCATGAAAGTGCTCTCGGCCGGGTTCCTGTCTGTGCTCAAGTTCGTTCGGATGTCGATCCCCCCTGCTATCCCAATTGCGTCCCTGGCTGCAATCTCCTCCTTGCTCCTTGCCTCCGTTGTTCAAAGATTTGTTTAGTTCCTATCAATTAGCTTTCCATCTTGAACTACCTGATCGACTGCGTTTCTGTATGTCCTCAAGCCCCACAGCAGCCTACTGAACAGCACACAACGACTTTTCAAGCGAGCGATGGCAGCACTTACTTGCACTTGGGATAGTCAACCTTCTGGGCCGCGCAAGCAAGAGAGGTTGTGTAGAAGAGGCAGCCGTCGGTGCGCACGTTGAAAGGATCCCCCTCAGGTCCCACAGTGATGGCGATGGTGTAACCATTAAGGAAAGCGCGGCAGGCCGGGCCTCCGCCAGTTACTGCACCAAGCCAGGGGTTAACCAGATCTGCAATGTAAGGCTGCAATTTGGCGCCATCTTCATCCGAGAAAAATGTGGCACAGATGCTGATGTAAGATGGGGCACATGTAATTCGAGGGGCACCCAGAAACCTTACACCCATAGCAGCGGTTACATTGGAGATACTCTCCACGGCGACTTCCGCTAAGGCATTGCATTCACCCTCCGGAATAGCAATCGGGTACAACACGTTTGCACCCTGTTTGAGGGTAAGGTAGAAGCAAATAGGGCAAGGCGGAGGAGGGCTCGGGGGAGGTGGGGAGGG